TATATATAAAAAATTAGCCGCGCATGGTGGCGCATGCCTGTAGTCCAGCTACTCTGGAGGCTGAGCAGCAGGATCGCTTGAGCCCAGGAGTTTGAGGTTGCTGTGAGCTAGGCTGACGCCACGGCACTCACTCTACCTGGACAACAAAGCGAGACTCTGCTCTCAAAAAAAAAAAAAAAAAAAAAAAAGAATTTGTTATAACAGGATTTGACCCATAAAATTAAAATATAATTATTGATTTTTAAGGTATTGTAATTATAAAAAGTATGGAAATGGTTACATAAGTTATAGAATAATAATACTATGGAACAGTTAAAAAGAGTAAGGTAACAGTATGGACTGATAAGGAAAGATCTCCAAAATAACACTTTTTAGTGAAAAACAGAAAAGATGCAGAACTTAGGGTTCCACTTGGTTTTAAAAACTCCCTGAGTATTTTCTATTTTTAGAGATGGGGGTCTTGCTTTGTTGCCCAGGCTGGAGTGCAGTTGCTATTCACAGTGCAGTCATGGCACACTATAGCCTGAAACTCCTGGGCTCTAGTGATCCTCCTCCCTTATCCTCCTGAGTAACAGGGACTAACAGATGCATGCCACTGTGCCAGGCTTCCCTGTGTATTTGGAAATACTACGTAGAAAAAAATCTGTCATCAAACTGCTGTCAGTGATTACCTTGCAGGGTGGTCAGATGGAAACTAAAATTCTGTATATTGCTTTCTTGCCTGCAAGTTTTTACAGTAAATTTTTTTTGAAAGTTTAATTATACTTTTAAAATGTAGGCCGGGCGTTGATTTCGTGCCAGTCGCCATGAGCATGAGTATTAATTCTTGGCCAGTCTGTTTATCCGTCTGCTATTTCGCTTCTTGCAGTGCTTCAGTAGTTCTCCCGTGGTAGAGGTCTTTTTACCCCTTGATGAGAATGTATATGCCAAGGTAACTTTATTTTTTTGGTTGCATTTTGAAGAATTGAGTCGTGGTTTGATTTGGTTCTCACTATTTTACTGTTGTTGGGGCGTAATGAATGCCCTGATTTCTGTGTATTGATAGTTGTATCGCTGGAACTTTACCAAATGCATTTATAGATCAAAGGAGTCATGTTGAATTCTTGGTTTTCAGGGTTATAGATATCATGTTATCAGCCAAAGAGTGAGGAGTGGGTTGATCTCTGTCTGCTCCCATTGGATGCCCTTAAGTTTCCACTCTCTTGTGTCTGGATTGCTGCTAGCCGAGGGAACTTTCCGAGACTATCGTTGAATTAGGAGAGTTGGAGATAGTGCGAGCTTTGCCATTTATTGTTGAACATAAGCGTGAGGTGAATTCCACAAGGTGAGAGAATTACCTTTTGAGAGTCTGTTCCTACCAGTGATTTTAATAAGTAGCCTGGAGGGTAAGTGCTGGGTATCCATACATTTCTGGCACTTAGGCCCCCTTTGTCAACTGTCAGCAATTTCTGCAGGGAAGCTGAACCACAGCAGTGCCCAGTCAGCTGGCTCCACTACAACTGTATGGATCAGCTGTGCTGTCGGTTGTGTGGGGGGGTTTTTTTTGAGACAGAGTCTCGCTTTGTTGTCCAGGCTAGAGTTGAGTGCCGTGGCGTGCAGCCTAGCTCACAGCATACCTCAAGACTCGCCTGGGCCGTCGAGTGATCCTTGCTCCGTCTTGTTATGCCGTCAGCCTCCCGGGAGCTGCGGCGACTTACAGGCATGCGCCACCGGGTATGCGCCGGCCTAAGTTGTTTTTGTTACTGCATAAGCATATCAGTTTGGGCGCCAATGTAATCTTCTTTCGGCGTATTGTTATAGTAGAGACAGGGTCTCGCTCTTGCCTCG